TACAACCTACGGCGACCTACTTACCACTGGCTATCGTGCAGGTCACGGGTTCAACTCCAGGGAACTGTGCAGATACTGTACACAGGTAAGCTGAGGTCAAGGGATCGACCCCTGGGATCTGCATTGGCTGCTACCAAAGGTGAAAACTGTTTCACTTCCCAGGCCTAGGGGTTGTCTACTGACCAGTGTCAAGCGCAGTCTATCGAGGAAGGGCTACCTCTCTGAGTGCATGACCTCCCTTAGTCAGTAGAGTGACTTGTTTTCCTGGGCTTGTTAGCGACCAAGACCTTTAGCCTGTTGAATGGCTACAAGAAGAGGGGCAGACCGGGAACTTCCTCTTTGATGTAGTGGGTGATTGTGTACGACACTGGGGGTGAGCCGTTTGCTTCCGTACGAGTGTCCGAGTGTGATTGTGTGCTATACCCAGCGGCCGACAGTCAATAAACAGCCGCAGGTTCCTACATACCTGTCACATGAAGATTTGGCTGAGGCAACATTGACGGGTAGCGCAGGTGCCTTGGAATGAATTCAGCAAGGACTGTGTGTGGCGAGGTAAGCGAGCGGAAGTGTCTGGAGCTTAGGTGTCGGCCGACGTAGTGCCCGGGCTCATCGAACAAGATTATAATAGACCAACCGTAGGGACTGCAGATCTGTCTACTGGGCTATATGTCGTTCATTTTGTTAAGCCTGTGCAACGACAGGTCAGCTACAGGACTAGAAGACCCGTCTACCTGGCCAGGATGCAGCTCGCTGTACTAAGTTGAGTAGCAGCAAGTGTATTGCAGAGGATGGGAGCTCGCTCACTGTATGGAACGCTGCCCCACTTTGGAAGTCGGGTGATGGAGAGCGGGTTGTAGAAGCTGCAGAGTTTTCTGGAGGCTGACATATTACATCGTGTGGCCAGTTAAAATCACCTTGTTGCTCCACCCCGGAGAGAAAGAGAAGGAGAGCTATGCTCCGGATCCACGGCCTCTGTTTTGAACTATAGCCTATGCAGGTCGGGCTCCAGAGCACTGCGGAGTGGCTGTGTTGACTGCGGATCGTTGTGCCTCTGACTATCGTGTGAACTGTTGCATTTCTACTATGGACTGCTGTGATCACTGGGTGACACTGTGCTCCTGAAGCGCGTTGTGCCTACAACAGAAACGGCCGCTGTTCAGATAGGTTACGGGGAGGAGTGGCCAGGCTGCAAGGAAGGCTGCTGCCGACACCGACCATTACTGTGCATTCTGGCCACTGAGGTGCTCTTCCAGCTCCAATAGCCAGACGTTCTGCAGTTCGTTTTAACCCCGATGTCTGCTAGAGCAGTTGCTGGGTTGAGTGTAGGCTGCTGCGCTGACTGGCTATGGTTTTTTTGGGCTGTAAGACCACGACATCCTGGGAGGAAGCTGCTGCGACAGCTCGGGGAAAGTGATTGGACTGCAAGGAGGGGACAGATGCCTACAAAACAAACTCGGTGGGAAGGTTGGACTTACACACATTAGTCGCCGTAGCTGGGAAAGAGGCGGGCAACTGTTTGGTGTCATGTTCCCTGCTCTGAGTCAAGGTCTTGGCCTCGCTGCGTCCTTCTTCTGTGCCTTACCGAGCTTGGAGCTCTTTTGGGAGCGTCATACTGATCACTGTACGCCCCACTGACTACCTCGGCTATGTATTTGCCACAGCAGCCGCTGTGCTTACTGTGGATTAGTGTGACTAATGACGATCATATGGGCCGCTGTGTAATTGTTGGGTTGCTGCGCTAAGCTGCAGCTTTGTTGTGCCTTACTGCACACTTGGCAGTACTTGCGATACTCGAAGGTGCATACGAGGCGCGCATTGCGTCAAGTGCTTTTAACTAAGGCTGCGTAGTTGCAACTTTGCCAAGGAAAGCGAGGGTGATTGGGTGGTGGAGGGAGGTCACTGCGGCAGTTTGGAGAGGTGGTGGACAGAAGGGGTTGTTGCTGCAATTTGGGAGTTCGTCAGGAGGGTTGGATTCGGCAGTTTGACTCCAAGTTGACCGAGTTGTTACACTTGGCTGCCATTGCGGGGCCCTCAGGCGATCCAAGGTATCAAGGCCCTCTCCTGCGAGTCTGAGTGCACCCCTCTTGTATCTGAGAGTCTCAAACTATTCTCCTTCTGCCCTTCTTACTCTAAGTCTAGTCCTGATCTGAGAGGAAGGCGGCGGGCGGGATTGCAACCCGTAGGACCGTAGCAAGACTCTGTGGGGAGTCCACCCACCGATTGCGGGAGCTCTGCCGGAACTTAGGAGGAGTTCTGGAGACAGGGAACTCAGAGGTAATCATTGTTGTCCTTTATAAACCCAGTATAACCCCTATCCATACATCTCCCCATGTATTGGCTGAGTATGTTGTATGCAACCCTACTTTGACTTTGGGTTGACCTTCAGGATATAAATCAGACTAAGTAAAGGAATGTATGTACAAAGGCAGTTTCAATTCTTTGTTTGCCTGAAAGCAGATTGTCACATGGGGTTGCATCAGGGGGAAGGTTGGGAGGAAGGCGGTTTTGCTTGCGCTTGAACGGGTCTTATAGGGTCAGGCATTGTTTTTAAGATGAATGGTCTGACTGCTGTGTTTTGTTCTGTTTTTTGAAGGACCAAGCATTGTTTCTAAGACGAATGACTTGGTTGCTGTGTTTATTTAATTGTGCCAGACATTGTTTCTAAGATGAATGGCCTGACTACTTATATTGTGGGGTATTGATTGCTTGAGTTTAAGGGCCAAACATTGTTTCTAAGACGAATGGTCTAGTTGCTGTTTATTTTGGGTGGTTTCTTAACAGTCTCTGGGTCTTGACCCAAAGTACTCTGTTTTTTTGTGCTGAAAAAAGGGGGGGTGAGCATTGTTTATAAGACAAATGACTCAACTCTCCTTGGTTGTTTCATTTTCAGGGAGGTTCAGGCCAAAGGACTAGACATTGTTTCTAAGACGAATGGTCTAAGTCTGAGGCCACAAGACTATAACGAGAACAAAGGAATAAGATTCTCTATAAAGTCTACATACATATATGAGAACAAGGCTAGCCAGACATTGTTTCTAAGACAAATGGTCTGACCATAGCCTTATTACAAACTAAGAGAGTATAATTAAGAGTTATAACTGAAGGTAACTTGGGCAGACTGGGCATTGTTTCTAAGACGAATGGCTCAACCCTACGCTCACTTTCGAAGGTTAAGTTCAGAGAACTATATATAACTTGGCTATTTAAACAGTTCAGGGCGACTGAGCATTGCTTCTAAGACGAATGACTTAGTCATATGCCCAATGAAGAGAAAAGTAGTTGTGCAACCTATTCGTGTATAACTAAGGCAGAGAGTTGGCATTGTTTCTAAGACGAATGACCAATTTCAATGCCCTATGTAAGCAGGGTATAAAGGGTTAAATCATTGAAAGACTATGAACTATTGTTTGCTAAAGGTAATTTGGGTTGGTGAGAGTACTTACCTTTGTGGTTTGACTTACATGTGGCTGAGTGAGATTACTACCTAGTCTGAGTTTCAGGTTGATAGGTAGTTGCTTTAGTGGCTCGCCACGTGCTAGAGCGATAGGAGTTAGATTCAGTTCCTGCATTTTCTGTGATAGTTTTTGTACTTGGATCAATTTTTGCATTTTCTGATATCATTTATTATACTTGGGCTTGTATAAATCTTGGTAAGCCAGTTTTCCTACGGAAAACACTACCGAAATTTTTGCAAATCCAAGGAGTTAGTCAAATTTTGACTTTCCAAAGTTCAAACTTGTCTGAATTTTTATACATGCCTTAGTAAGAATCTGAGAAATCTCATTTCCTAAAGGGAGTGCTGCCCAATGTTTTGCTAATTCAGGGAGTTAAACAAAATTTGACTTTGGACAGTCAAGAACTATTATTGTTTTCTTGTTTAGACTTAAATAAAATTTGGAAAGACACTTTTCCCACGGGAAGCGCTGCCGAAATTTTCTTAGTTTAGTGGAGTTAGATTACATTTTGACAGGTGGCAAGTTTAGTAATCTATCACGAATGGGGGAGATTCTGCCATGAGCCTACCTTTCTTTGACACTGCCTTAGAGGTGGATCTACACATAGTTAACTAGCAGGAGCCTGGGTGAGACCATGATATGGAGACTAATCCCCATAAGACTTATAGGGTTAGTCTTGGGCGTTGACCTGTCTTGTGTTACAGGCCAGTTTGATCGATCTGATTCAGGACTTGGACTAGATTCTGCTTTGATCCCACGAGGATCACCTTCTGTTATCACTGATAGCAGGTCGGTTGCCTCCGTGTAGTGCAAGGACCTTGTTTGATTCTTTGATGTGATTGCAAGTATGTTCTGTGGTTCGGACTCTGGATTTGACTGCCTGCGATCACACATATACATGTGGTTGTGAGGAGGCCCACTGTGATTGTGAGAAGTGATCGTCACATACTTATCCCCTTGTATATATATACATGTGTGTACCTATGTTGGAAGTCCGCATGGCCCAAGGGGTCAGCGTATTAAGGGTTAAATAGGTGCTGAGGTTGGCAAAAAGCCCCCGCCTCTTGATTATACACTTCTTCTGAGTTCTTAGTCGGACGTTGGTCCCGGGCCGGGATTCAAGGTCCTTGTCCAGGACACCCCAAGCCCTAGGCTCTGCAGAGAAGGGGCCTTCCCTCGCGCAGAGCCTATATGCCCTGCTCGTTAAGACACCCAACCTTGAGGGCCGAAATGTCACGAGGGTTGAACGACATGTCCTTCAGCCGTTAATATCATGAAGGGTAACCCCTCACGATATATTCCTTCAACCATTCAATATCGCGAGGCCGGAACTGCGATTACCGCGTATGACTAGCATCACCGGTTGGTGTAGGACAGGCTTGCAACTGCGCAACTTTATACCAAAGTCTTGCGCGCGACGTTTCGCCGTCGTAGTGTCTAGAGTTATGGGATCAAGAGATTCGTACATATGCATGAGTGTTCAGGATCGGTATAGGCCGCTGGTGCCAAGCGAAAAAGTTACCCAAGGTAGTGATTTTGGTATAGGGAGGCCTTCGGCCTAGTTCTGCTTTTTAGAGTTATCATGGTTGGACGTTGTAGTCCGTGGCAGCCGTCAAAGTCAAACCCCTTGACCTCTTTCCAGGCCCTAGATGATGGAACTGGTCTCCAGGGCAATACGGGATGATTGCCACTACAGGTACGAACCTGTGTACCACCCACTCTCCGCAGGGTGCACAAGAGGGTATGGTTTTCAACCGCACTTGGCGGTTGTCCAGCGTCGAGGGATTAACCCTCAAGACGCGTGTCAGCCGACACTTGAGTGTCGAAAACGACCCTCGAGATTAACGAGGACCGCACGAACATGGGTACTGCATAGTATGCCATCACTGCGACCGCTTGCATACGCTTGCATCGCGAGTCGATATGAGTAGGCCCTGCGTCCGCGCGGTTTTTACCAAGTCTTGTGCGCGACGCCTATCCGATTTCCGCGTCGGAGAGTTATGGGACGACTACTGAAGGGACTAGGAGTGTTGTCGCGTTGTTTGATGTGTGTGTGTGTGTATTTTATTTTTGTGTTTGTAGTGTGGTGTATGCGTGGTAGTGGGATACGTCCTAGTCGACCGGCGATGAGCCGCGCTTGGGACCCCAGCCCCCCAAGATGTCGGTTCGCGTACGGGTCCGATAGAGGCGTAAAACCGCGCGTACGCCCTATGCTACAGCGAACGAGAAACGCCCTCGGCTGGCCCGCCTCTGCGATTGCAACTGATCAGCTTTCGTACTGTGGACTGGTAGCTCGGCGGGGATACGCCCACCAAAGGGAGGTGACAACTCCCGTAAGGTGGAGGTAAGTGGTGCCTCGCGTAGGCCCTGTCCTGTCGTAGGGGCTCGCGAAAGGTATGGCTGGCGCACGCGGCCGGAGTGGCCTGCGGAAGCTCCATGTACATTTGCGACGAGGATACAAACTAACTCCTGCGTGACGCGGCCGGGAGGGTCCCGCGCTGCCTTGTGCGATGCCGGACCGATGCGAGCGACAGGTGGCGCCGTTGCCGGGGATAACGGAGGCCTACTGTTGTCCCTGATGGAACGACATCCGGGTATGAGAGTGAGATGGATGTAGGCATAGGAAGAAAAAATGAGAGTAGGTAATAAGTTGTATATGACTAAAAACGATTGAGGAAAATCTAGTGACTCTTGAACGGGTTGGTTGCCTACCCAACTATGAGGGATAGCCTACCTGACCTAGACAGACATCGTGAGGGGGGACTAGGTAGGATGTGCGGTAGAGATCTCGCCAAGATAGCATACTGAGTAGACGAGTGTTTGTTTTCTCTTACAGGAAGGCAGAAAGAGACGTCTGTCAAGATGCCGAAACCCACTGACGTAGTGGATAGTGCGGGAAGGGCCCTGATATTGGAGGACCTTATTGCGGCCATTGATAGGCATGAGAAAAGGTCTAGCAATGTCCCAAAGATTGATACCTTCCACTTCAGTGGAGAGAGAGTTTCAGACTGCCTGGATCTGGTGGAGCAAGAGATGGTGGGTTTGTCGGATGAGGTGAAGTTCCAGCGAATTCTGAAATACGTACTTCACAGGCATCATCAAGAAGTGGGAAAGGTTGTGGATGCCGCCCACGGTAGCTGGGCAAGGTTCAGAGAGGGCATGCAGCGCAAGTACCGGTTGGGTGATGGGTTGCTAACCACCACGGACCTCGAGGCCATGAACAAAGATGACTTCACTACGATAGGGGCATTTGTACAAGAATTCAAGAAAAGGGCGAGGAAAGTTCATGGGATCTCAGAAGAGGCGCAATGTGCCATCTTTCTGGGACTGCTCACGGCGTCAAAAGCCTCTGAGCTGACGAGTCATGGAGGGGGCAGTGTGAAGCTTACCTGGGCCACTATTGATAAGGGAGTAGCGGATTCGAGCCTGGACCAGGTAGAGCAGCACCAGATGCGCTTGCAGAGAAGGAAAAGGAAGGAAAGGGATGCTACCGCATCTGGGACCCCAGGGGTAAAAAGGATTGTTACCGACGTGCTTGCAGAGTTAGGCTATGGGCAGGACGCCGAGGTGCAGAAAAAGGTGGTGACCATAGTCCAAAGTCGAGGGAAGGAGGCAGGGGATGAAGGTACCAGGCAGGAGGACTACGGTGAGGAGGAGACGGGATCACAAGTGCTTACCAAGGCCCAGCGCAAGCAGCGTAACTTGTTGCTAGGAGGTCAAGGCTCAGGGAAGGGACAGATCCAGCAAGCAATCGCTGCCCCACCGGCTGCCGCCACAACAGCACGTACGTCAGCAGGGCCCTCACAGATGGGGCTGCCGCCAGCCTATGGACATTGGGTGCCGTATTGCCAAAAGGCACCCTGGCCTAGTTGTAATCACTTCAACTCGTGCGGAACGGGCCAAGCCCATTCAGGACAGATAGTCCCATATTCGGGCCCATCAGCGAGCCTAGGGCCGCCAAGTTTCCCAGCGACCCAGGGTCAGTTCGCGGCCCAGCCCCCTACCTCGCAGCAAGCTTCGCAGGCTAGCGTGGCAGGAGGGGGAGCTCAAGGGCAAGGAGCTCAAGGGCAGGGAAGACAAGGCAATGGTGGTCGGGGACAAGGAGGTCGGGGAAGTGGCGGTCGGGGACGGAACGGTGGGGGACGTGGTGGTGGATGGAATGGCCAAGGAGGCCAGAGCCAAGGTAACCAAGGCAGTCAGGAAGGAGGCCAAGGGTATGGGAGGCCCTGCTTTGATTGGCGAAGTGCCACCTGCCGGCATTGTGGCGTTGTAGGCCACAGCATTCGGTTTTGCCAACAGCGGCGGGACAACGAGCTCGCGGGCCTAATCTCCACAAATATGGATGGGGACATATATGATAAATTTGGGAAGTATATTGATCCAAAGATCCCAGGTGGGGTTAGACAGGAAGCTCAAAGGCGGGCAACGGCAGGGCCGGCGCCCCCGGCAATGTTCAGGCTATGGCAAGAGAGGGAGGACCCGCCCGTGAGGATTGAAGAGGTCACGGGGGAGAGTGAGGAGGTGACTCAGCGACTAAAGGCTGGGACTATAAAAGAAGAACCAATAGTCGTTGAGTCGGATGACGAGGACTCCCAGAGGGTGGGAGAATCAACCACAACTACCTTGGAGAAAATGAAAGACCTGCTGGGAAAGCTGGGAAGGTACCAGCAAAGGCTAAAGGAATTGTGTGATGAAGTTCAAGGATGGAAGGCCGACCTTCCCAATGTCTTCCTCTATGAGTCCGAGCCAGGACCAGCATCGGGGCAGCAAAGCTATCCCGGGGTCGCGACGGTAGGGTCGGGCCCTAGGTCAGGAATGACATTCAAGCCACCTACGCCACATGGACGGGCGCCGCAAGCGGCACAAACCAGGAGCCAGAGTAAGCTTGGCCCTAGTCAGGCGCCGAGTCAGGCGCCTCCTCAAAAGAGACTTGAGCCTGAGCGTAGGAAAGAAGTGGTTGAGGTCCCGGAGGAAGGAGAAGAGGAGGAGGAGGATACGGAGGATGAGAGGCTCTGTCAAGAGGAGGATCGGCGGACAGAGCAAAGAGCCCAAAGGACAGGGGCCCAGGAGGAAGCTGAGCCAAGTCCACAGGACAGCGTGCCTAAGAAGAGGAAGTACGCAGTCAGGTTAGAGGAAGGCTTTGATGTAGAGAGGATGGTGGGCAGGCTCCTTGAAGGTCACAATGACCTTATGAACCTAAAAGACATTTTGGCGTCCGCCCCAAGACTTCGAGATGGACTAAAAGGACGATTGTCTCGAAGGTTAGTACCCAACGTCCATCTGAGTGCAATCCTGCCTAGGGAGGTAGGATGGACGCAAGCTGGAACTAGGATGGACTGGAAGTGTGCGGCATGCGGGTTGGTGGACTTGGTGGTGAAAGAGAAGAAGTGTGTTGCGATGATGGATACGGGTGCCGAGATGAACATCATCTGAGAAAGGGATGCTCTCATGCTTGGTCTGGAGATCGACCGTGCAGATCATGGCGTACTGCATGGGGTGAATTGCAAGGCAGTTTTTTGTGGCACGCATCTAATGTAATTATAGAGATTGGCAAGGTGCGGGCGAGGACCTGTTTCTTCGTCATGCCGGACGTCGACCGCCCTATCCTCCTGGGTAGATCTTTCATGTGTAGGACGGAGACCTTGATCTTCAATAAGCACGATGAGACGATGGTACTACTCCTGAGTGATCCGGCCTATGGGAACTACGAAGTTATCACCTGCCGAAACACGGGGCCAGGGAGCGAGCGGAATAGGCCTAATCCCGACTCATTCACTTATGTAGAGTCAGAGAATGAGCGGCGGAAGCTTTGGGAGGAACCCGAGAAGGAAGGTGGGGCTGAGATGCTGTCACTTAGTCTTACAGATGTAAACAAGGCTATGGAGATCGTGGCGGCACATGAGATGGCAGACCCATAGGCGATCAAGGCATTGCGGGAGCAGGTTTTGGAATGCCCACAAGTGGGAGAAGCGAAGTTGATCTATCGGAGGGCCTGCGATGGCGCAGGCACAAACAACAAACCGACCTTTTTTAGGGGATGGCTTAAGCAGGGCGCCCAAAGGTGGTACAAGACGGTAGATAAGAAGTGCCGCCCTGTTCCTGTGCTTGTTACAGAAGATGAGGAGGTTTATTATGAGCGGGAACAAGGGTTGATACGGCGTATGCGAGAGCAGGCGCTAAATGATTCATGCCGTATCAACGAGGAAAATGGAGGGAAGCTGATAGTTGGAGAGTCGGGTTTCCTTTCACCCCAAGAGAAGGCTTTGATGGTGCAGCTAATGAAGAAGAGGCATCGCGCATATGCTTTTAATGATGATCAGCGTGGAAGGTTGGATGTGGACAAAATTCCGATGATTCGGATCCACACCATCCCCCGCGAACCTTGGAATCTAAGGGGCGCGCGATACCCGAATCCTGATGAGGAGAAAATGATGGTGGACTATCTGGATGGTAGGATGCGCACGCATGTTGCTGGCTACTCTAGTGGGCCATATGCGTCCCCTTGGTTCTGTTTTATTAAGCCAAACGGGACGCTACGGTGGGTACAGGACTTGCAGCAGTTGAATGCGATGACAGTGCGAGATGCAGGAGGCCTGCCGAATGCAGATGCATTGTCAGAATCATGCGCAGGGAGGCCTATAATTTCGCTTATAGACCTTTATTCTGGGTATGACCAGTTTCCTGTATACCCGCCTGATACGCCAGTGACGGCGATGCACACGCCAAGGGGGCTGATTCATATGAATGTGGCCCCTCAGGGTTGGACTAATGCAGTGGCAATGGTGCAACGACACATGGTCAGGGTCATGCAAACAGTCAGTCCACACATCACTCAGCCCTACATTGATGACTTGGCGGTCAAAGGCCCAAAGGAGAAAGAGGAGGACAAAGTAATGCCCGGAGTAAGGTGTTTTGTCTGAAAGCATATCCAGGACCTCGATCGAGTCTTGGGCATGTTAGAGGAGTACAACCTTACTGCGAGTGGGCCAAAATCCAAGCACTTCATTAAAGAAGCTACCATTCTGGGTTTTGTCTGTAATGAGAACGGTCGGAGGCCAGATGTGAAGAAGACAGACAAAATCCTAGAGTGGTCAGTGCCTTTTCACTCCATAACGGATGTGAGAAGTTTTCTTGGCACCTGCGGATTTTGGAGGAGCTTCGTGAAAGACTTCGCCGCCAAGACCGAGCATTTAAAGAAACTGGTGTGCCAGGACCAGGAATGGGTCTAGGGTGAAGACCAGGAAGAAGCGGTGACCCAGATGAAGGGGGAATTCAAGGAAGGAGGATTAGTACTGGGGGCGCCTAACTATGAAGGTACTGAGGAAAAACCTTTCATCATCGAGACGGACGCTAGGCCGACTGCCTTGGGAGGAGTATTACTTCAGGCAGATGCTGAAGGCAAGGAGAGGTCGCTAAGGTTTAAAAGTCGAACTCTTAATACGACTGAGAGGAACTACTCTCAGTTTAAGAAGGAGACGCTTGCGGTACCCCATTGCCTAAGGATCTTCCGGAATTATGTCTTCGGCAGGAGGTTCATATTGAGGGTAGACCCCACGACACTTGCCTGTTCCCTGAAGAGTTATACTCCATCTGACCCAACCGTCGCTCGATGGTTGACGTACATTTGAATGTTTAACTTTGAGTTGGAAAGGATCCCAGGGAACAAGAACAGGGCCGATGGCCTAAGCCGTGTTAACTGGGACAACTTAAATCAGGAGTCGACTGAAGATACTCCACCAGTTGATTTGGGTTCTTGGATCAGGAAGAAAACGTCCGCCTCCGTATAAACAAGTGGTCATTACAAGTGCCTAGCTGTGTCAGCCACCCCTTATGGATAGCGCCTAGAGGGTATGAGCATAAGGCTGATTTAGTCCTCAAGCCATTTCAGGAGGAAGATCCATGGGGAGGCAAGGACGTTCGCTGGATGATGAAACTGGCGTTAGCAGGTACGCACGGGTTGGTGGAGGAGGTGAGAACGATAGAGGAGGGCCCTACTCAGGTAGAGGAGCATGAGCAGTTAATGGGAGGGATGTATCTGCTCACGAATACGCTTCTGCAAGGGGACTTCGACCGAAAAACTCCTTAAGTCCAGTGGAGGGTGAGGACCTCGTTCTTGAGAGTCAGGACGATGAGTTCGAAAAAGGGGAGATTAAGGAGGCATTTCGGGCAGAAGAGTATGATGGGATCTATCTTGAGCTAGGCCTACTCTTATCTTGTGAAATGAGGGGCAGGGATGCAAGTGTTATAGCTCAGAAGACGAGGCATCTCTATATGGTGAGGGATGGCCATTTGTTCATAAAACGACAAGTCGGGAATCCCAAGCGGATTGTATGTGGGAGGAACCGGCAAATCGACATTATAGCGGCATTGCATGATGGTATAGCAGGAGGGCACAGGGGGATAAGTGCCACATGTGCGAAGATAAGTGAACTAGACCACTGGGAAGGAATGCTGAACATGGTCATCAAGTACTGCCAATCCTGTGTCCCTTGCCAAGAGAGGTCGGCGCAAAGGCCGGGGGAGCCCTTACACCCAAGGTTGGAGAGGGAGGTAGGCGCAGTTGTACATCTGGACCTACTCTTCATGCCAGTCGCGGAGAATGGGTGTAACTATATCTTCGATGCACGGGACAGCCTCACTGGGTTTGTGGACGAGCGAGCTATTCGCACGAAGACCGGCCCAATTTTAGCCAAATGTATCGAAGAATATTACTTGCGCTACCCTTTCGTCAAAGAGTTCGTGATGGATCGGGGGTCCAAGTTCACCTGTAATGAGGTGCAGACCCTGCTAGCAGGATATGGCGTGGTAGCGAACTATACCACCGCTGCACATCCTCAGGCCAATGCACCTGTGGAAAGAGGACATGGACGGAAGGTAGACTCGGCCAGTGGCCAAAGTTTCTACGAGCGGCCTTTTTCGTGGAGAATGTCACAGTAAAGAGGACTACCAGGTACGCACCTGCCACTCTATGGTATGGAAGGCATGCCACCTTCCCCATCGAGAGCTTCTTGAAGACATGGAGGCGCCAGGACTTGGAGACGAACCTGTCGTTTGAAGAGTTGCTCGATATTCGGGCACGGCAGGTGGGCGCGGCTGAGGAAAGGGTACGAGAGGCCTCCAAGCATGTAGAGAGGAGTCGAATGGAGGATAAGATGCGGTGGGATCAGATGGCGCGAGTGCGGAAGGAGCCTTTGGCAGTTAGAGATATCGTACTACTCTACGACTCTTCCCTGGAGAAGCAGTGGTCGAGGAAGCTCAACAAAAGGTGGTTGGGGCCCTACAGGATTGCGCGGTGCGGGGAATTTGGGGCTTACCAGATCGAGGAGCTGAGTGGAATGGAATGGAAAGACTGGGTATCCGGGACAAGACTAAAGAAGTTTGTGGCCAGGGAATAGGTAAAGCCACAATCCCTTTCTAAATGAACCCTCGTTCTGAGTATCGCAGATCATGGCTAGGCTGGATAGAAAGAAGGAGGGGCTTGGTGTGTCTGAGATTGGGTGTGCGTTTGCTCTAAGGCTGTCGAGCCTGTATGCTGACCCTGTTGTGTGCCTGTTTGTTTCTTTCCGCCTGACGTGCAGGTCTGACTTCTTGAAGACAGCCATGCAGAGGGGCGGGAGGGACACGCGGCCACGACAGAGACCTCTCGGGGCATCCAGAGGGGGAGAGCGGCATGGGCCCTTCAGGAGAGAGCCTACACCCGTATTTGATGACGACAACATCGAGCTCTTCCTAGACGTCTACCGAGATCATGCGACCCAGAGAGGATGGGACGTATCTGAGAGGATACAACATTTGAGAGGGATTGGGAGGTTTGAGAAGTCTGTCGCACAAATTATGGAGGAGGCGTTGACTTGGCCAGAGGTAGAGGCAAGGATGCAGAGATTGAGGGCTTCGCGTGTGGGGCACGATGGGCTACCTATCCGCTTGGAGGAAGGGAATGCAGAGGAATTCATCCCAACATATGAGCAGTATATGAGTGATCAGGGGGTTCAGAGGGATGAGTGGATGCAGACCCTACTCATTTGGACCAGAGGGGCGGAGCGGCCACTGGCGAAGCAAATCCGGGATCGGGCATGTGACTGGGAGGATTGTCGGGCTCAGTTGAGGGAGGCATTTCGACGACCAGGCAGGCCAGAACCCAGGGTCGATAGGAGGCGGGGAAGCAAGAGGCTAAGAGATCTGGAGCCAAGGGAGCCAATTGCGACGAGGGGAGGTCGGAAGGCCTTGGCGCAGCGAGAAGGAGGGCGAGTGGTCCTGAAGTGGTGAAAGCTCCGAAGACCCTGGAAACCACTTGTTTAGGCAGGCTGCATCCTCAAGTGGTGAAGGGTGGTTTTCATGGTCTTCAGACCTTTCACCACTTCAGGACCATTCAAGATTTTCAGACTGCCCAAAACTCTTTACTTGACCACTTCAGGACAACCTTCACCACTTCAGGATGCAGCCTGCCTAAACAGGTGGTTTTCAGGGTCTTCGGACCTTTCACCACTCCAGGACCATTCAGGATTTTCAAACTGCCCAAAACTCTCACTTCAGAATTTTCATTACTGAATTTTCAGCTACCCGATAACCGCTTGTGAGCCCCTTCCACCCCCGTCCTTTCCCCACTACAGTCCCACTTGCCCTAGCTCTTCTTCTGTTTCACAAAAACTCGAATCCCCCTCCTAAGTTCGTCCACATTCACTAAGCCTGTGTAACACCCCTTACAAATACGGGGTGTCCGTACGGCCTATACTGTCGTACGTACGGGCCCCCAGGCGGCCGTACGTATGGTCGTACGAGTCGTTTCGGCCACCTTCCCGGGGTTGTTCTGACATGTGACGGGGTTGGGGGGGGGGGTGCATGCCGGGGGCTAACCCCCCGAAGTAAAAAATAAGAAAAAGAAAATTGTTCGTTTGGGGAGGGTGCTAGGGTTTCGAGAAAATGAAAAAAACAACACAATCGATTGATTGATTGATTGATTGATTGATTGATTGATTGATTGATTGGTGATTGATTGATTGATTGATGATTGATTGATTGATTGATTGATTGATTGATTGATTGATTGATTTTTTTTATTGATTGATTGATTGATTGATTGATTGATTG